TATATGACTGTGAATTAGTGTTAACCAGACATTGAGAAACTGGCCCTTAGTATCTAATCTAATTAGGGCTGTCACAGAATCCAGCGCAGTCCGATTTTTCGTGAAACTACAAAAATGGTATCATTGATTTCGAATAGCTACAAACGTAGCGTACGTGTATTTTGAATGCACACGTTCGTAGCGGTTCGGATTGAGTGATCGCACTTTCGTAGATTTCACGAAAAATCTGACCACGATGGATTCTGTGATAGCCACCAATATTCCTAATCAGTTAAAGTAAAAAAGTTAAATACTTAAATAAAATTAAGTCGTAGCAAGCCTTATCAGTTTAATTTAATTTACCCGTGGATTAGTAGGGTGCATTGGACAAAGCTTCATACTTGTGAAAACCTCACATTCGCGACTGTCATGGGAGGCTATTGAAGCTAGTTGCTCAAAAAGAACAAATTTCAATTGTTTTGCGGTTTGTGCTTTTAATGACGATAATATCTTTTGAACATTAAATAAGAAGTTATTAATATTCAAATATGGGAACATAGGATATTATTAGTAACACAAAACTGTCATATACAAATATGAAATAATTCATGTTTTTAGTTCATTACGTCAGAAAATATGTAGATATATAGGTACATATCATGATGCATCATGGGTACATATTTTTGTTTTCAAAGACTTCAAGGAACAATTCGTACTAAGTAGGTTGCGCATCGAATTTCTTTTCGACATTTTAACATTCGACATTTTAATTTGAAGATTTAATAACGATCGCGGCGTCCTCGACCGCTTCCACTTCCGCCGCGAGAGCCCCGCCTTTCGCCTGCATTGCGATCACGAAAGTTATTATTAAACTTTGACATCTCATTTGCACGTCGATCCTTCATTGCCTTGAAACGATCTGCCATATCTCGAAGATCATCCGGTACTTCCTGGCCAGCTTCTTTTAATATACTTATAAGTTCTTTAGCAACACCCCAGTCATTCCGAGTAATAAAACTGATGGAAGTTCCAGTGCGGCCAGCGCGTCCGGTACGCCCAACACGATGTACATATTCCTCAATATTGCGAGGAAAATCGAAATTCACTACATGTCTGTAATAAAGTTGGCGTAAATAAGTATTACAAATGGTAAGGATAACAATACTAACGTAATGTCATCAATATCTAGTCCTCTAGAAGCGACGTCTGTTGCTATCAACAGCCTTACTTGTCCCGAACTTATGTCAGCAATAGCCTGTTCTCGATCAGCCTGCAGGAGATAGTCAAAAGATGACAAACAATTAACGCTATAATACTGAATACATATGTACCTGTTCTCTAGACCCATGTATGCATGTGCATAAAACACCCTCCAGCGTCAAATCACTGGACAAATCGTCAGCGCGAGTTTTCTTCCCGCAAAAAACTATAGCTTTGTCATTCTTTTTCATATTTCTTACAAATTGCTGAATCTATATTCAAAAGATAACATAAGATAACAGAACATAATTTTAATTCAAATTTACGTGCAAAGCAATAACTTACCGCAAAAAACTTATCCCCGTCATCCATTATTTCGATAATTTGTTTAACCGTGTGTGTCGCTGCCAAATCTAGTGAACCTACGCATACTTGTATTGGATTGCTCATGTAGCTTTGAGCTAAGCGCCTCACGCCGGGTGGCCACGTGGCACTGGTCATCACAGTTTGCCTATCAGGTCGGATGTCCAACAATACTTTACGAATTTGTGGTTCAAACCCCATATCTAACATGCGATCAGCTTCATCCAAAACCAAATAAGTTATACTAGAAACGTTGATAATAGAAGCTTCAATGAGATCGTTCAGTCGTCCTGGAGTGCAAATAATAATTTCAACTCCACCCTGCACGTTGCTTATTTGTTCTCGCCGATTTCCACCCCCATATACGCACACACTGATATAGTTTATATTTAATTAACGATGGGCTAAATTAAACATTATGTGGAAAAGATTATACTTACGCTTTCATGCCACGAAACGAATATTTATTGACTTCTTTTTCAATTTGTAAAGCCAGCTCTCGTGTTGGCGCAAGCACCAATACATTAGGCCCCCCACGCTGCGTACGCGGTGTGCTTTGGTACTCAGTGTGAATCATAGCAGGCAACAAGAAAGCCAATGTTTTGCCGGTACCAGTTTGTGCGATGCCAATCATATCTTCACCTTTCAAGAGAATTGGCCAAGCTTGTGACTGTATGGGCGAAGGCTTTACAAAATCCTGTTTGTAAATTTCCTCCATCAAGTCAGGGTAAGCAGCAAAGCATTGCTCGAACTTCCAAATAGGATTCGGAATGTTTTCAGGAACGTCGTCTTGCTTGAATACTCGAGATACGGTGATATGGTTATTTTCTTCTCGGATGCGTTCGACTTCTTCTGGCATAAGGTTTGTTACTTCCGGATCTTCATTATAGAAATTTTTTGTCAGGGGTGGGCACTTAGCCCAGCGTATTGCCCGTTCTTCTTCCTGGAAAAATAGTGAACAAAACATGCATACTAATAACTCGTTTTAATTTAGTTTTGTTCGTATATATAATACCGCTTTTTTATTCAGGGCATCCCAATCGATAACTCCGGTAAAACCTGACTGAACTTTGTCTTCCTCATCGTATGGTTTTTCCGATCTATCCTCATAGTAACCACTCTGTTTCGTTTCCTTTAGTTGAAAATTATATATGGAATTTGACCTTCCGCCGCCTTTGCCATTATTGGCTTGATAATTGCCACCACCGCCCCCTCGTTTATTATTATTTGATTCCAATTGATCCTTTATATAATTGTATGCATCTTGAACATCTTGCTCGCTATTTCCACTAATCGTTGCTGTGCCACTCCTTTTGTCAAGATCTACTCGGACGTTGAAGTCATTTTGTACACGTTGAATATTCGAACCAGCTCGACCAATGACGAGACCAACACAGTCCGATGGAACATTGATAGATTCACTATACTTATGCCTTTGATCGTTTTGACCACGTTTTTCCCCGTCATGTGGATAGCGATCACTTCCTCGATTGTGGCTGTCACGGTACCGCTGGGCTTTGTCACTCCCTTTGGAAAATGAGTTATTCTGGCTATTATAGGCCTCATGCTTCTTAGTGCCAGTTTGGCCTCCATCATCCCAGCTTTCTTCTTCCCAATCAGACATTCTGAAGTTATTGTTTTTCTTCACTAATTTAACAGCAAAACAGCGAAGGTTTTCATAAAATGCTGATTAAGCAAAACAGAAACTGTAAATCTATGGAAATTCTGAAATTTCAGGTACAAACGGTATATTTCGGAGAACTAGGAATGAAAAATATTCGATAACTTGCTTTAGTTTTTTACCATTATCTTGGAATGCAAAAGTCATTTTATTCTTGAACACATTTTTAATCCATTTCAGTTTAGCAACCAAGGTGAGATAATATTAATTTTCTCAAATGAATTAAAAAATTCTGGTTTTTCTTAAGGTGCGATAGTCTGTTTTAATAGACAAAAAATATCGTATCATACCCATGATTCAATAAAAGAATCATGTATCATACCGATATTTTGCCGATTGTAAAGGCCGATACACACAGGGCACTGACACACGGTCAGCATTTATTGACGTGATCCAAGTATAGCGATATTTATTGACGCTGTAACATGCAGTATTGATGAATCGTGATCCATATTGCAAAATTTCTAAAAATTTTGAAATCTAGATCGCGGATCGCAATACCATCAATAAATATTGAACGTGTAGCACTTTCAAAACGCGATCCATACATTTCGTCAGTACATCTTTTACTCTCATAATGCGACACCGGCTCTGCCTTCGCCCTCGGGGCTTAAAATCTTTCAAAACAAATTTTAATTAACATTGGAAATTTTAAAATAATTGTGGAATCCATGATCTGTAAATTATACCTACAAAATAAAAATATTTTCTTGCGTCATAATAAGCTTTCAGCACAAAAATTATGCAAATACTGACGCGATAAATATTGAACATGTAGAATTCGTGCGCGATCCATCAGGTGACCATCTTCCTTAAGGTTTATTAATGGATAAAACAGCTTCTCCTGCAAATCCGGCAAAACCTGCAAATCGTGAAGCATCTCAAACGCAACTAATGACAATTGAACTGTGACAATTGACGGCTGTGACAACACGTGAATAGGGCTGTAAGTCTAAGGGTGCAAGGAGTTAGGAGTCGTATGCACCATGCAAGCGATTTGTCGAACTTAAGAGCTAAATAAATCACACAAGCTGCTGTTCAAATCTACTTTAGTATTTATCCATTCACTTTTTTATAGATGAAAAATTAATTTCAACTTAAATATCGATAATGCGGACCAATTATCGATGCCTTCTATATATCGGCCTGTGAATATTGATTCAAAAAATCGATTATCGCACCACAAAATATCGATATTCAGAATAATCGACACGATATTGAACACTCCTAAGCGATAGTAGTTGTGTTTTCGTATTCTCCAGCTAAATTTATCCAGTAACTTCAGGATTGAGAGAAATAGAGATTGCGCCAATCGCGGTACCACTAATCCGCTCTTTGTGATTTTGACAGCATCAGCTGTGTGCGTGACGTCATCTTGGTGCAATTGCTGATTGTGAGCATACGAAAAAATCAAATAATAATTTTAATATATGTGCGTAAATATTTCTGCGTGGTTTTAAACAATTACTGAGACATTACAAAGCAAAATGAAGTGTTCCGTGGCAAAGTGTAATAGTGAAAACGAAAGGAAAGCGTGCGATATAAGTTTTTTTTTCGTTTCCTACGAACGCAAATCTGGCGAAAAAGTGGAAGCAGTTCTGCCGGCGAGGATATGCATTAAACACCAAATCGAGCTATGTGTGCATGAACCACTTTACTAGTGAAGATATTGAAACTAATATTTTTAGTGCTGGTATGAGGTAATGCACCAATGGTTAAGGTCGCCAGGCATCAAGCGGCATCTTACCGCGTTGTTACGTACCTAATACAAAACCGTGCCTTAGTTATCATACATTTAAAAGTTCAGCTTAAATTATGTTTTACTTACATAAAATATTTGTTTCCAAAGAAGCCACACTCATGCATCCTCTCGGAAATGGTATAAAAGTCATCAAATAAATGCTTTGGAGTCAACAGCTGTGGAGTTTATGGTGGTTGGCTACCGTCCACAAATATAAATATGCACTCTGCATGGCTTTTCACAATGGCAAGTCCAAAAATTCACTTTGCTGATCACCTTCCTTTTGGTCTAAATGAAATTGCAAACACTGTTAATACATCCATTTTTTAATGTGCTAAAAATCGTACTTACCTAAAGGGCTTCATATCCAAAATTATTGCTACGTGTTCCTAATTAATTAATCTTTGTATATTTCTTGATTCCTGCAAAATTGGGCCATATAAATTAAAATTAACACATTTTTCTGCATTGCTTACATATTTTTATAAGCGTTTTGGCATTTCTCTCTCGCAATTGCACCAAGATGACGTCACGCAAAATTTACGCTTAAAAATCCTCTCTCATTAGCGCAATTTAGTATTCTATCATTCGTGCAGTAACTTGCCAGTAACCATATTTCGGAGAGTAAGCCAATATTTACTCCCAATGAGTGAAATATGCAAGTACGAAAACGCAAAACCAGCACGAAGTTACTAGTTTTATGAACAGCTGGTTAATTTGTTATTTTCCGATGCAATTTTCTTAGAAAACTAGTATTTTCCATCTTATTACATATTTAAATAGGTTTATTAAATAAAACTCAACTAAATAAATTAATAAACATTATTTTGTCAATTGCAACTCTAAAAGCATCGCAAACAATTATTTTGTTAACATGAATAACATTAAGGATCATGCCATCAGCTGTTTTACTTACTAGCAATTAGTTGCTTATAAAAATGTATCCAGTAAACATATAAATGACATCCAGTAAAAACCAGTAATATTAGTACTGGGTTTACTGGATAGTGCGTACGCAAACTGGGCTAGTGTTTAGAAAAATTCGATAGTGGCGGAAAAATGATACCATCGATACTATCGATAACCCCATCGATAGTTCTCCATCACTACTACCAAAAGTGCGACGACCCATTGCTTGCGGACGGGTAAAGGAAGTTCTGAGTAAAACTATAAATTTGTGCCAATTTAACTAAAAATAATATACAATTTTTGAAAATAATAGTAAATCAATTACGTACGCAAACAAATTTAAACTTTTCTTGCATTTTGTGCTTTCAAACACTACCGAAAAATGGAAAATTTCTAGAGGATGAAATTTTTTTCTCGTGCAAACATATTTTTCAGCTGCCATAGCAAGTACATTAGTAAAACAAAGGGAAAGGCATGAGCGTGACTGAGATGAATGCAATCGCAATTTTCGAATAGAGTTGAGCTTCTTTGACAAGTGTTTAACCAAGCAGAAGCTGGAAATTCAATGCCGTATTAAAACGAAAACAAAAGCGAAACACTGCAATAGAAATATACAATAAATAGGAAGAACTGCACAAAGAAGAAAAAGTGGAAGTGGAGTTAACGCCGACTGCTGTGGCGAGTATAAACTCCAAGTGGAAAAGAGCAACGTCTATTACCGAAAATGGCGTTCTATTCGGGCTGGTCTGGTCCCTTTCCCTTTAACTCGAATTCAAGGACTGTTTAGGAAAAACTCGAATAGCTTTAAAAAACAAATGTGTTAAAGACTGTATAATATATCAAAAATGGAAGCTATGCATGTACAAAATACAAGAAAAATCTAAGTGGGTGAAAACTAGTAAAGGATAATTAATACTAAGATAACTGGTCTCCTAATGTATGTATGTACGTTCCTGAATCTGCAACCTATAACATTTCTTCCAAGTTTTACAGGTTTTTCTTTAATTTTTAGGAACAATTTGAAATACCGTTTAAAAATATTTCTGACCTTTTAAATATTCCTAACATCATATAAGGAAAAATGCCCAGCGCTTCCTTCACTTCGTCGCGCTCGTACGTGCGCCGCTCCCGACGTAAAGGTGCTAACCGCATAGCTTTACCCAATCGTCCGTCCGGTAAGTCGGAAATAATTTACATATTTATAAAATGTTTTGAAAATATCCACTTTCAAGGTAACATAATGGATCCTATGCTGCAAAACATGCCCGGACCTAGTGCTTCGTCAAACTCAAACTCAAGTACAAGCTCCAAGGCTTCGCAACAAAATAATATAAATCCGACTATGTCCAATGTATCGTCTGCAACTGGGAATGCGTCGACAATTCCGTCTGGTTCACTCTCGACATCGCCATCATCATCGTGTTCCTCGGGCGACACTTCATCGCAATCGGCTGCAATTGTTGTTAGCACATCCTCAGCCGCAATGGCAGCATCAGCAGCTGCAGGTGCTGTATCATCCGAAATGTTTGTAGATGTTTCTGGTGCCTCTTGTTCACAGTCGTCGACATCGTCGGGATCTTCAACCTCCAGTGGCAATTCAGCTTCCTGCAATTTTGGCCAAGCGGGCGGACAAAAAATGCTAGGTGGCACTTGTTCGAGTAACTTAATGAGCTCGTCGTCTTTAAACACAGGCGGAGGTTTTGTAGGAGCACATATGATGGATACAGAAACAAGTAGCAACTGTCCAGGTATAGAAATCCTGCCTCAAATCAAAAATGAAACTCTCTCATCAAAGTTTTTTCAGGTTCCTCGAATAGCGCATCAAATAATAGTGCAGGCACTTCTAGTAGTATAAATAATGCTAGTAAGATATTGCTTATTTTATTTACTTTATGCAATAAGTTAAATATTTCTCATTTGCAGCATGCAATCCTATTTTTTCGAGTTCAGTGCCGTGTAGTTCATCAACAAATATGTCAAATGTAACTGCTTCTATATCTACCACTGTGGCCAGTTGCTCACATCAATCACCGTACGACCTGCGAAGAAAGATGCCCTCCAATGGTCACGAGCAATGGTGTAACACAAGCATTGCTTCAAATCTTTCTTCTCCATCTGCTTCCAATACTCTTGCCAACAACAGCACTTTAGGTGCATCACCCAATACTAGTAATAGTAGCTCACAATCTGTTTCCTGTGGTTCACCGCCACATCTCGGTGGAAATAGCAATATTGCATCCATTTCTGCTCTGCCGTCATCATCCTCTTCATCGTCAGCCATTGTACACGCGCCATTAACTAGTGCCACATTTCCCGTAAATTCACCTACTACCGGTGCACCATTAGGGCCATCACCAACAGTTCACAGTTCCATACCACAGCAACATTGCAG